AACCATTCTATGATTCTTTTCCTTCTGACGTTGTCATCCTTAGCCAGGCAAGCTTCAGTCAAAATGGAAAATTATAAGCACTAGAAAAGCCAAGCTTGGAATGAAATTGTTGGTGCAGATGGTGTCAAGGTCACTACTACTGCAGCTATAGTTTTTACTATCCATCACAAAAATAAACATAAAATAAGTAGTTCCAAAGTTACGCTGCCATATGCCTGCCAATGAAAATAAGAATCATGATTACTATTATACTGGCATAAAACCCAAACCAATCCCGTGATTTGCAACTGAATAAACTGGGTATGTTCATTAAGGTTGGTACGTTGTGTATGCCATGGCCGCAGGTGGCACGCTGCAAAAAGATGCCGAAGATGCGAAAAAACCTGAGTACCAGCAACTGATCTGCTAGTGCGGTTTTTCCCTCTGTACAACATCCACTTAGAGACCACCTATCCCAGCAAGATGTGATTACAAAAACTAGCACACAGATACAAACTGGTCTAGGCTGAGGGTGATCCCACACCATTGCTTCTGCTTCTCCATTTAACTGCAAGTATGTGCACACAAGTCAGAGTGGAGTAAGTCAGAGCAAAGACCCTGAAGGAAGAGGCTGTTCTGTGCTCACCACTAATACACACCTTCTAACCCATGGTAAATGCATGTAAAATCGCAGTTACCACAGAGTAGTTACTGTTTAGAAAGCCAAATTCAAGTTTATCCCTAAGTAACTGTTCCTGTAACGCCTCCTGCATTTCCTTTCTAGACTTGCTATTAGTTTTAACACCAGCTAGTTTGATGATCACTAGGAATTTCTGCTTTTTGCTGACCTCCTTTCATCCAAACTGTAAAAAACACAAGGATTTTAACAGACCCTGGAAGAACCACATTCTGCTACTGCTTTTGATGCAGCAGATGTTTTTTTAAACAGCATTTCTTATTTCCTTTGATGTGATCTCAGTACTAACAGAACATGTAAGAGGAAGAGGTACCAACAGCTACTTGATTTTTTTTTAAATACTTACTTATGATGACTGCTGCTGTGACGGTGGTGGTGGTGGTGATGGTGGTGGTGTTTTGAATGATGCTGGTCTTTCTCCGTAAGAGATGAGGATGAGGAGTTAGAATGTGAAGATCCTAGGCTCTTCCTCTGTTCTTTCGTCTTCTGTAGCACTCTCTTGTAGGACAACGTGCAGAGCCAACACAACAACTTTCCATCAACCTTTAGGAAAATAATTAACAGCAGGGTTTTTTCCAAAGTACACTTACATTAAAAAGATATACTTCATTATTTGCAAGAAAAATTTTGTTTCACTTCAATTTGGGAAAAATCCAGACATACATTCGGTATGAAACAGCACTACCGTATCTCTAGTGTGTGCAGGTTATCTTTTAGCAAAGCCAATCTTATTCCATTTCTTTTTGTCACTTGAAGTTGTACTAGAAAGGAGTCTTAGCAAACATTGGAGACTCTATCACAGAAGTGACAGTATCTTTTTAAAGGGACAAAGCATCTGTAGTTTAGACACCCTACACCCTCTCTCCACCCATCGTATTCCAGGCAGAATCAAGATGCCCAGCCAACGTGTTATTTGTACCAAGTAAATTCTGCTGTAAAAACAGCATTATTCTTGGGTTCAGGCAAGAGGCTTTTTTCCTCAGCACCTTCTGGAATGAGAAAGTGCCACTCACCAAAGCTATTTAAGAAAACAGAACACAAGGGGCTCGCTCCTCAGAGCAGTCTACCTCTCTGGTGCCTTACTTTAAGACAAGGCAGGCAAATCAGAAGAGGTAAAGTGACAGGTTCAGGTTAGGGACATATGTAAGATCCAGTGGATGGGAAAATATAAACTAAAAAACGAAAAAAAAAAAAATCAAAGCACCAGGAACTGTTCAGCTGCTTAACCTCTGTTCCCCAGCTACAGCTGTCAGCTTAAACTTACTTTTAAGGAGTGATTTAAATTCAAGTAAGGTAGCTCAGTACCTAACCTAACAATTGCACATTGCAAAATTTAATACAAATATTGTAAAGCATGGCAACTTTAATCTAATATTAGTGAACTTAAGATATATTCCTTTTAATCTTTCCCTTATGAAGGGGGAACGTTGTCAGCCTAAGGCATTACAGCTGTGGAACGAAGCCTACCTTCCTTCTTCCTTCCTCTTTTCGATCAAAAGCACACTGCTGTTTGCACTGTTCACACGTCTGAGGGGGGCCGTACTTCTTCTCCGAGTTGGTGCAACGCTGACATTTCGTGCCGATAAACGCTGCAATAATGTTACAATACTGACAAGGCTTGGGCTGGAAAACAGTAAATTGAGCTTAAGTTAATACAGTTTCTGTAACAAACACAGGTATTTCAAAACACACAATGATGCGTCTAAACTACTAGGGCTTCATATAACCTATCTTAAAGAACCCTTTTCCTACCATTCCTATCTTCAGTAGACAGAAATTTCTATCTTCAGTAGGTAGATAGCACCATTTTTTCTCCTAAAACGATGTTCCTTCAATGGTCAAAACCAGCCTGGACCCAGGTACATAGTCAGTGAAAAAACCACATAGAGTGTGAATGCTCACCTCTCCCCCTGCCTCTTCTGTTTGTTTGGGGTTTTGTTTAATACCATGACATTTTCTATGTGTTACTAAATACTGAAGAAATTACCTAAAGTTTAAAAAAAAGAGTAATCAAGTTATATTTTTAGACTACAATTTTCTGAAAGCAACCCTCTCCCTTGCACTATTCAGGGATTTGATAACCCTATAGCTCCAAGATTAGTATCCTGGTCCCGGCACTTCTGCAGGAAACTTAAAAAAACCCCAAACACACCAAACAACCAATGTCTGATACCATCAGGTCAGGTTACCGACCCTGCTATCATACACTCAACTAGAATAATAAACTGCTGGACAATAAAACTGCAGCCAGTTTTCACAGGTTAGAAGTGAGAGATTATCTTCAATACAGTTAGGTGGGGTTTTATGAACTACTGATAAAAACCATGGCCTTGCGCTTTATTTTGCTACATTTTAAGCTTTTGAAAGTGTCCTTTGTTCAGTTTACATTTATATTCACAAAATGCCTGACTACATACCAACAGCTGTTACTTTTCTTAAATAAGCTGAATTTCATCTAATAGGGTTTGTGTCAAGCATACAGAAGTCAGGCACTTTTGTTTCACAAGATTATCTTGACACCTTCTATAAAACAGTGTCTGCAGTGCACTCAGATAGTGTCTGCATTCAAATATTGAAAATTAATTTTTCTAACAGAACTGAAGCTGAAATTCAAGATGCGAAAACGCAAAGTAACATGAATAGAACTAATACTCATAAAATCTTTTCTACTTAGTAGCTTAACACAGTTAACAGGCGTTTAAAGTTTTAAGACTTCCATACATAATATAAAGTTTGTGTTATTATTACATTTTTACATTTACCACTCACTAAAAACACAGACAGATAATGGCCTTTCCGCCACGAAGTGTGTGTTTATGAGAACATGCAAAGAATTACTTTACATGCATAAAGTGATATAACATATTTTTCGCTGTGAATCACTACAGTGCAGTGATTCACAGCTGGTAAGCTACACATAACCACAATGGATTTCAACGTGAAAAAGAAACCGTAAGCCACGAAGAAAATCACGAGCTGCCAGTAATTTTCATCACCTTTCTGAAAGGTAGCATATTTTTTTCCTTCCCCAGAAAGGAAATAAATGTAGTTGCAAGAGGACTTTTTTTTTTTTTTAATTTAAAACAGGAATGAACTTAACTTCAATATTTAGAACTAAGAGTCTACTCACTGTTCCAAACTGCTTCACGTTCTGGGCGCATTTCTTGCATATCGTATTAGTTTTGCTAAAGATAAAATGGCATAATGTTGAGTTCAGCCAGAAACACACACCTTGCAATCCTTTCCCATGCAAGCACTGGAAAACACACACGCCAACACACGCTGTGGTGAGCGATTAACGACAAGCGAACAGATCTAACGCCGTACTGCGTTTGTGCGACGCGCTCTTCAGCCAGACTGAAGAGGGCAGGTCGCTGCGGTTCTGCCCCCTCCACCGGTGTGAATTTCCGCCGTCACACACGGTCCTGCCCGCGGAACAGCCGTCCCTCCGGCGCGTCCGC